GTTCAGACGTGTGCTCTTCCGATCTTTATACTGCCTTTAGACTAAAGATAGTACATCGTGGTTTGCATTTGCAAAATATTAGTTATCTATAAAGTATATATTACGTATATTAAATATAAATTAGAAACCTATATAAAAAAAAAAGTGTCGCAACCTTTTAATGAGCGAGTGTACATACACTGCATGATCCGCTTCATGGGAAAACAAGAAAAGGCGGAACGAAATCAGCGGAAGAGCTGTGATTGGTTTCGTTTTAATTCCGCTTCCGTTCTGCTTCCGCCTATATCGCTTTGTGTGCCGGTGCCCTGAAGGTGCTATTTCATTTGAGAATAAGCTGTTTTTTATAGCTGAACTGCTGAACTAGTTTACAGTTTATCTTTCTCTTTCTACATTGGAAAAAGAAAGATAGACTCTGAACTGTAGCCAGTTCAGCTATAAAAAACAGATATATATATTACTTATATTATATAATACATATATTACTTATATAGTAATATATGTTCTAAGCATTTCATGCGCAGTGTATAGTCACAGCAATTCGTTACTATTGGTTAAAAATGTTATTTATCACTTCATTTCTACCAATGTAGATTAATTTTAATTCTCGGTTTAACTTATTTTGTATGTGTCTTTTTCCAGTTCTAAAAATTAGAAAAAGATAAACAGTGAATTAAACCGAGATTAAAATTAATCTACATTGGTAGAAATAAACAATAGACGCACTTCCGGCGCAAAATACATTTTGCTGCATCTTTTTGAAGTTCAACCAAACAAACAGTAAAAGCGAACGAGCAGTAAAGCCGAAAAAGTCGTGTCAGCCGTGTGCAGCAAGCCGTGCGTTATAAACTTGTGATATAATAACAGAATAATAACTCGTCGATATAACAGAAAATATAACGAAAAATGACATCGGATGAAATACGGAAACATATTTATGATTAATTTATTTTTAATAAGCCCTAATAGGTCTAATATCCTTAGTAGTAATTTGTTGCAAAACTGCTGTAAATCTGAGGAAGCAGATCATAATGTCCTCTTGGCAGAATATGTCAAGAATCTGCTGCAAGAATTGTAGCATTCTTTCGCCAGAATCTGCACATTATTTCTGCTAAAAGAATCTTATAGGTATCAGTCTGCTGACAGACTGCTAACAGACTGTTTACAGATTGCAGTTACGGAAAGAATCTGCTTCAAAATAGCTCGATTTCTGTAGCAAATATCTGCAAATTGTTGAATTCTGCTGCAATTAATTACACGTAGATTTTGCTCTGCAGAAAATAGCAGAAAATGCTACTAGGGATATGTATATGCACGATTGAGATCATAACTTTAATCTATTGACATTGAAAACATAAATGGTCTGATAAACCGTAATTATAACTTTTTAAACTTGGTTATTATAAAGTGATCTTATAATTTAGAAAGTTATTATTTACTAATAAATAAAATAATGGGCTATGAGCCAGAGCAGGGTTATTTAATACGTAATATAAGATACGTTAAATGCAATTATACAATATAGATATACTCAATGCAGATATATCGCTGTTTATATTTATGTACTTATATTTATATTAAAGGTTAAACTTCAATATGTTGCTGCTAAATTCCTTTTCATACGCAACAAATGTGATGGAAGCAGTTCTGAAAAATTTGAATCACGTGACATTTTGCTGCTACTGCGTGCTGCATATGAAAAAGCAGGCATTTCAGGATCATGACCTCAACAATGATATATGTCAAGGTCAAGGTCATTGGCGCTAAATAAGAGTTTTACCTGTGATTATAAAGTAATTTATAAAGTTTAAATATCTCAAAAATTATAAGAGATTACCCATCTAGTTGTTAAAGCACTTAAAATAAAAATATATTACTCAGGAATAAACTCTATAACATATATCAAAGTCAAGGTCAATAAAGCTATTAGATTATTTTATACATTCTTCTATAATTACTGAAATTTTTTCACTAGGATTATGACCATAAATATAAATATTTTATGCAAATAGTACAAAACATATTCTACAAGCTCTATTATCTTAACTAGGATCTTAGTGTAGACACAATTGATAAAGTTGCTACAATATTTTGCTCGAATTTACTGGCAACCTACTGATATATTATTAATATTTTGTTCATTAAGAAAATAATTGCAAGTTACGATTAAAATTCTAAATATATAAATTACAAATTAGGCATAGATTTACGTGTTTTGCTCCAGAACAAGGACATCGTTCCATCCATTCAGTATTAAATGATAGGCGACCGAATTGGCGACAGTTCCAGCACCGGCAATGACAATTTGCGATTGCGACGGTAAGTACGGTGGATTTTTAGACGAGCGATTTTTTTCACTGGATAATAAACTGTGTCCAACATCCATGGACTGCCATCGCAGAGAATTCTCATCGTCGTAGGTTATGTAACGCACGCCAACTGAACGTCTTACTCTTAAACTATTTTTTCCGAATGATAAATGCGTACATTTCGAATGGAGTTGTTTCAACATTAAACGTCAATAAACGATTTAACAGTGTGAAATACAATTTGTTTATAAGGGCAATTTCACGCAACGTCAAAGCATTAGATACACAGCGGCTACTTCCGCTCCGTGGTACAAGTTTCTCTCTGGGGGTACATACATACATACATTTACTAGGGAGAAAGAGAGCCGTCGACAAAACGTCAAACAAACAACCACTAAACCCTGCTTTTTCATGGATCCCAATCAGCACACAATATTTTTAAAATGTTTTTTTTTTCATTTCCTGAACTCATTTTGGAAAAAATATTTATTTAACATTTATTTAATTTTTTTTTTATTAAATATTCGTTTAGACTGATTTCTAAGGAACGTTTTTTAAACGTTTATTTAATATTTGTAAAATATTTATTTAACGTTAATTTTATAACATTTAAAATAATGATTTCAGTATACATTTTTTAAACGTTTATTTAAT